AATTTTTAATATAACTCTGACTGGATTTGTCTGAAAGAAGAAAGTCATATACACCTAGGATGGCTCTGGGGTGAGTGTAAAACAGCCTCATTTTCATTTTTAGGTAAACTAACCCTTTAATATTTCTTGTGGAAACCGAGATACATTTTTTTTCCAGGATTCTTAGATGAACACAAAGTTTGAAATAGAAATCTTTTGTAACGTTATATATCTTTAGCAATTCAATGTGTGCATGCTATAAAAAAATAAAAATATAATTTTTTTTATTTTTTTATTCTTACCACAAACGTTTGAATGGTAGTGAATCACGGTCTATGCAAAAACATTAAGCAGCAAAAACAGTTTTTAACATTGATAATAATAAGAAATGTTTCTTGAGCACCAAATCGGCATATTAGAATGATTTCTGAAGGATCATGTGAAAATTCAGCTTTGCCACCACAGGAATAAACTGCATTTTAAAATATATTAAAATAGATCTTTTAAATGTCAATATTTCATAATATTACTCTTTTACTGTAAATAAATGCAACTTTGGTGAGCATAAGAGACGTCTTTCAAAAACAAAAAAATCTTAACTATCCCAAAGTTTTGAACAGCATATATTTTAAGCTGAGAATGGAATGAATAATATTGATAATAAAATTTGTTAGCATTCTGAAAAATGAAAGAAAAATAAAAGAATCAAACCATTCATGATATTTAGTTCAGCTTTATTCTAATGGGGAAAAAAAACCTTTTTACAAAACTTTCCCCCATTAAAAGACAACTTGTATACTGAACTTCACGGAGTAGACGCAGAACCAAACCTGTCTACAAAATTACAAAAAAATGGCTTTTATGTTCCTTTTATAAATTGAACTTGAAAAACTTTCAGATTGATTGCAAAAAACAAAGGAGATTAGCACTCTTCCTTTTAAACCAGTTACTAAATACTGCCATCAGAACACCTGAAAATTCATAGATTCTATCAAAACATGGTTATAAGAGAATATACACTGTATCGATTAAGATTCCTCCAATACAATAGCATTTTCCAATAGATTATGACAAAGTTAATATTAAAATCATGTGGACTAAGAATTCGGTCAATCCATCCACATGCACATCAATGTACTGTATGAACTTCTAAACCAAAAATGACATGAAAACGAAGGACTGTATAGAAAGAGAAAGAGGATACTTGCAATATAAAGAGAGTAAATATAGAGAATAACTTGTTTTCATCATCGATTACCAGAGTATTATCAGACCTTTGCTCCAGAAGACAAACATGGGTAAGGCAATGATGGACAGAATTATCAGCAAAAAGAAAAAGAAGGAAAAAAGTACAGCAGGAGTCAGTCAGTATCAGCAGACAGTGCAGAGAGAAGATCGCTTCTGTAAATGCTATCCGATTCCATATCCCAGAAGGCTTTGCTGTGCTGCGGGAGAGATGCAGCATGCTACAGTACTAGCACGGTTCTTCACGTCCCACTGAGGTGACAGTTTCAGGACACTGCATACTTTTTGCCTCCTTGATCAGTTTTGTTAAGTATCCTGTGCAGGCCTGGAGGCATGTAATACGGTTTGGAAGGACTGCCATCGTTCCTTTCAAGATCTTCACCTTAAGGGTGTCCCATCAAATCAGACGACGGAAGAAGGGAAGGGTTAAGGAGGAAAGACAGAGGGTTTCAAGGAAAAGGGAAAAATAAATAAGAAAGCAGTGTTAGTCAGCAGTCATGCAGTTTGAAAAGAAGAAGTGAAAAGGATAAATACACAAAGATTACATCAGTATAATAATTAGAGAACAGAAGTGATCGAAGTCATGCACAGAGAAGAAGAGGAAAGGTACAGGAAGACCAGTGGGTGGGTATGTACAGTATTTATCAAGGACTAAACTAGCTTTTGAAAAAAGTTGAAAACATCATAAAGTTCAGCATTTATTACCAAACACACATAAGTGAATTCTGCAGATTTAATAAGGGGTGTACTTACAGAAGCAGAGGAACAATGTATCTACACACATGGCATAGACGTTAAAGAACCCATGTGCAATCATATATGATCCAAATATCACAGTCTGTGAATGGGGAAAAAAGATTAATAGAGAAATTACATTAGAATAAATCCGGGTTCCCAACATACCTCTTGATAAATGCATTTCAATAATGTTTTATTAAATAATAAATTAACAGATGTATAAAATGCATTAACTATAACATTAATTTATAATATATTGATTTATATATATATAAATCACTAAATACTGCATAAGAATTTTCTTAATAAATTAACAAATTTATAAAATGCAAATAAATAAATAAAAATATATATATAAAATTTCTAGAACATGAAGTTATTGCTTGCACTCACCAGCAGAGGGACCCAATAATAATTTAATGATGGCACCTCTTCCTGGATTACTGGTATTTGGCGGGTGAAGAAAAAGAATGCAAGGACACCTGCAAAAGCATATTTACAACATCAGCAAGCAAAAGAGTGTTATTAATTCAGCTAGAATGGCAAACCATGCGACATCAATAATTTTTGTATTTATAATTTATGTGTATGAAGTCAGAAGGTCTATGCCATGTCTGTGTGTGTGGTTAAAGCCCCCTGACTATTAGTCTTAATGTTGGCCTGTCTGTATGTCACAGATGAAAAGGTTGACTCACCCACACTCCCTGAGATCAGCAGTTTGCCCAAGAACAGCAGGAAGTCAGTCACCTTGTCCAGAACAGCAACTCTAGAGAAAAACACACAGAATAATAAATAGATTCTATATATAGTCATATTTAGTCTTGGAGCTCTTACGTAAACTAGACATTTTATTACATGAGATATTTAAAGAATTTGCAATTTATTAGAAAACAATATTTGTCCAAATACGAGTTGTGCCAGACAAAGATGTGTTTTTCTCCATGCATGACTTTTGTTAAAATGATGCTTCACAAGTCGAACACAAAAGAAAAACGTCAGACAACAAAACATATTTCTTTAATTACATGGAGGCAACATTTAGCGAATTTTGACAGTGACAAACTTAATAAAAAAATAACATCCTAAAAACATCCTGGAAACCTCACAATAACTGGAACAAATTCTCGAACAGGTGTGTGTGTGTGAGAGACAGAGTCCTTGCAGCTTCACACCTTGACAATGACATTATAAATGTAGCAGCTGTGCAGTTTTACCTCATAACGTTCCTCATGAACAGGAAGAAAGCGTCTCGCGCTGAGGCACAGAAATTCTTCCCATATATTGAAATCTGAGGACATGAATCAAATCGAACAATAAATGTCAATGCATTCCTTCTTTCTGTCAGTCTGTTTCTTGACAACACAGGTTCGACATTGGCGTTCATATTTAAACAAATGAAACTATTTAGTTATCCACATTGAAAATATATGCTGTTATATGGTAGTTATGTATATATATATATATATATATATATACACCGCATAAAGTTATGAAATACCTGTACCTTGAAAAAGTGGAGTGACTCACCATAATGTAAGCATTCCTGTTCATGAACTTGATGAAGTGCTCTAGGCACCAGAAACAGCATTTTAGGCAGCACAGCAGGAAGCGTGTAAATGCATTGTGAGCACCTGCGACAAAAACAGAAGAAAGAGAAGCACCATTATTCACAATGTATTCTACACTATAGAATATATCATTGTTGAAACAGTCTTCTTGATATTTTTGTGGAAACTGTAACAAATGGAGACATCGGAGACCATCACTGATGACGAAAATGAGGCAAACTTTTAAAAATTAAAATGTGATTCATACCTTTCAGTTTGTGGTCGAGGTACTCCAGAATAATCCGGATGAACTGTACAATGGACAGAATCAGAGCTCCAAACGCAAGAGAGCCTGTGTGATACCTGGAATAACATTGTAATGTGATTACAGTGAACATTTCATTTCAGTCCAGCAGCTCTCCACTCAGACACAATCAATCATCTACAAGCTTCTAAGACCACAGATGGCAACATACCTTAAAGCCCTGCCAAATGATGAAGCCAAGGGGCAAGGTGGGATGTCTGCTGGCTTCCTCAAGGCCCAGTAATACGAGGCGAACGCCCCGGCGAGGGTGCACTGACCCAGAGCGATGGTGAAATTCACCAGCCAGAGGAAGACCAGCAAATTGCAGAGCTGAAGAACAAAGATGTAACGGTGGTACAAACTCTCCCCACCGTAAAAAGCAAATGTGCACTGGGAGCCTGGACACAGTTTAGTCACGTTGGATTGACTGAAGGTCTGAAACACATCAAAGAGACGGAAGGAGTCACCAATGTGACAATTACTGGATTTAATATTTAAAATGTAGTACAATGAAACCTGTACGCTGTGTATCTCAGATGATCACAGATTACAGTAGGGTTAGTTCTTACCTCTGGGTCACAGGTGAGGTTGGTATACTTGCAGTCGGGTAGCGTTGACATTACTTTATATACTGCGTCACCAGATGATGCCAGGAAACTGAAAGAAGTTGTGGTTAAGGAAAATACAATACAAACTAGCTAAAGCTAAAGTGTGTAATATCTGTGCCACCAAATGTTGTTTCTGCCACAGAATGAAAAAAATAGGGTAATTCTTCTAAGACTTCTTGTTTGCAATTCTGAGTTTACATTTTCAGTTAGAGGAGTTTACATCTCACAATTCAGTTTTTCTTTTGTTTTTGATTTTTGTTTCTGCCACAATAAAAATGTTGACTTTTTATCTCACAATTCTGACATTTTTGTCTAGAAAATGTGAGTTTATATATCCCAATTCTGATTTGTCTTCCCAGAATTGCTCAAAAGTCTGTTTATAAATCTCACAATTCTCAGAATTGCAAGAAAAAAGTCTGAATTGCGAGATATTTTTTTATAATGAATTAATAACAAATATTAAAATATTTACACTTAAAATTAAAAGTACTAAACTTCATTCAGCATTCAAATTAATTTAAAATTTGGATACACAGCTGTAACAGCCCAGTATGCAATACAAAGAGCCAGAAGCAGGAAGGTGATGATGGGATAGAACAGTGTTGACATGATGCAGCCAATAGCCCTGTAGGAAAGAGAGAGAGATAACGTATAAAATAACATTTGACAGCTTTGTTTCAGGCGTTTTTCCATTCTTTCCAAGCACCACCATTAAACAGAAGAAAAAGAGAGAAAGACATGCATAAAGAAACTTACTTGCTGCCCTCCTTTAGAAGAGCAATGGCAATACGAACTCTGTTCCGCAGGAATATCAGTACTAAGATGATGATAGCTTCAATGACAGCCAAGGAGATCACTGCGGTACAATATCAAGCTGTCAGTCACTTCCATCAAACTGAACTTTCATCAACTTGACAGTGCAGCTGCATTGCTTGGTTTGAGATGCATTATCTGATTTCAACTTCACTACAAACACTCATATATTAGAACAACTGAAAAAATCTCACTGAACATGAGCCAGGTCTGACGCAGCTGCAAGTAAACCCGGAAGTCAGTCTGGAATCCGATGTCTGAGATGGTAATGTCAGAGTCCGGCTTCCCCTTGAGTGAACTGTACTCCCAGTAACAATGCCATATTCCTGTAAGTGCAGAGACATTCACAAACTATCGTAGCTGACACATCATTTAGTGTTAATGTCAGTTACAAGATCAGGGTTTAATTTTTAATGTGAACATTTATTGCCTGAGAATTCAAGAGAACCAGATTAGTCTGAATCATGAATGATGCATTTATTTTTTTGAACTGGATCATTTGGTTCACTGATTAGATCGGTCTGAAAAGAAGACAAAAATGACTTTTTGAAGTTTGAAAATTGTGATTTTCTGTTGGATGAACGACATTCATCCAAGAGCATATTATATAATTTTTATTTTTGTGTAAATTATCCCTATAATTTGTTACACTTTGAAGTCTAGTATATACGAGTTTAGTTTTGGAGTTTTAGTCTGTAGTGTTCTGTAGTCATCACCAACCATAGCCCATAGCCGCGATGACCCCAAAGATCACCATCCAGAAGAGAACGCCAGCGGTGAACCTCAGCAGCAGAATGAAGATCAGACTGACCAGCATACTTATCACCAGACCACTGAAAACACACATGAACCACATATCAGCCACACTGTATCAATCTGTTGCATTTCTTAAAGGTGAAAAACTGAGGTTATACATACATTAGGATCCAAAACCATGAGCTGGCGTAATCCTCAAAGATTTTGACGCCCACCTCCTTTGCATCCAACAGGCTGGTGATGCCACTGTAAATGAGCACAGGAAACAGTCAAAAACAGTCAACTCTACTGACTGTACAGAGCAGTTTATGGGGAGGTTTATCTCATAAACATGCTATATACAGTCCTTTCTTCATTAAACTAAGAAGCAATGGCACACTACAGTTGGTTATTAGGGATCTACAGTGGTCAGGTCGATGTTTCACATAGGTGTTACCAGATGTTTCACAAGTGTTACCGGTGTAAGAAAACATCAGATTTGTTCTATTGTCCTCCTTTCATGAAAAAGCCATGTTTTTTCATGCACAGTGGAGGTGAAGGGTTAAAGAACTTAGTCAAAGTTATTGAATCTGACACAACTGAAAATGATGCTTTGAGAGACAGAAGTACAGTCAGTGCAATATATTGTACTGTTTAAAAGGTCACTGGACATCTAATTTTCTTAATGTTTTAAAAAATGTTTAGTCTAGCTGAAATGTTTTGGAAAAACAACAGATTTTATTTCTATCCCACACAGTCTTGTTTTTACTCAGGCCAAACTAAAATGAATATAGTGTGTATTCTATGCAAGTCTATGAGAAGTGCTTTTACATAAACTACAATTGGAATGTTTTTAAAGTGCCCCTATTATGGGTAATGAAAGGTTCATATTTTGGTTTTGGGAGTCCCAACAACAGGTTGACATACATGCAAGGTTAGAAGAACACTTTAATTGTCTTATAATATGCATTTATTTTTACCTTATTTGCTCAACGACTCCCAGACGATTCGTTTAACGATTCATTTTTCCAAACCCCTCCTTTGCGTGACGCTAATCTGCGGTGATTGGTCCGATTGGTCAATTTAATTTCCATTACATCTTGCCTGTGATGCCTGATAAATCAGCGTTTGTGAGCGCAGTGCTGCTTTGTTTACAGCCGTTACCGGGGAAACAGCTATTTTTTTTTATACAGCTCCAAAAGCGGCACCTAGTGGCAAAGAATGAATGTTTTCCCGGGTCTGTGCCAACAAGTGGGCGGGCAATATGCTAATGTTTCATGTTGATCAACATGAAACGGCTTGGGATTTGTTTTAAAAATGACTTGTTTCAATGATTCAGAGTCGACTCTTTCTTTTGAGAGACAATAACTTTATACACGGTGTACTTTCAGATTTAAAACTTTGCAGGAGGTTCATGCACTTTGCAGGATGCATTCACTTAGAGCTTTATTACACACTGCATGAAAGGTAATTTTCAAAAATCCATAATAGGGGCACTTTAAGAAATCAACATTTTTATTCAGCAAGGATGCATTAAATTGATTAAAAGTGACAGTAAAGACATTTATAATGTTACAAAAAAGTATTGCGGTTTCCACAGAAATATTTAGCAGCACTACGGTTTTCAACACTGATAATAACAAGAAATGTTTATTGAGCACCAAACCAGCATATTAGAATGATTTCTGAAGGATCGTGTGACACTGACTTCAAGACTGAAGTAGTGGGCTGGCTGAGGAAAATTCAGCTTAGCCATCACCGGAATGAATTACATTTTAAGATATATTAAAATACAAAAAGAGTTATTTTAAATTGTAATAATATTTCACAATATTACTGTTTTTACTGTATTTTTGTTCAAATAAATGCAGCTTTGGAATGGTAGTGTATTTAACATTTGATTTTATTACTTGTAAGCTGGGTATATTTTATATAGTTTTGTGATATTCACTGATTTGTACAGAAGTGAGGTAGGTTTGAAAAGGATAGCAGCAATGTTATAGAAGCTATTTTGAAACTAATTTGTCGAGCTAAAAGCTACCCAATTTAAAGTTGGGTTAAACTACATTGAAGCTACTTTTGAATAAATGCAGTTATCTATACTTAGCTATACATTTTGTATAATTATTGTAAAGGGGGAAAAAGTAGAATAGATGTACATTGCTACAAAAAATTCAGTGCAGACACCTTCGCAGGAATTCAAAGAATCATGAATGATTCATATGGGAGCATGAGTCTGCAAAAAAATCCAAAAAAACAAAAACCAAAAAACCCAGCATTGCCATGTTTCATCACTACTTGCTCGAAAAAGTAGCCTGCTGCTGGAAAGCTGCACTATACTGAAAACAGCTCAACTAATTTAATCAAACTGAAAAATGTTCTCCAAGTAATGCTGATGAAAAGTGTGTTTCCCTATAGCAGAGAAGCTTTAGGTGAATGGAGAAGAGCTCTGTGTCCCAATTTTAACTCCTACGCTCAATTTTCCCTTGCTGAAAACATGATCAATGTAGTTCATGTACAAAACGACCTTGCGATGACATTAAATCACATCTTCCTCACTTGCGTTTGCCATTATATTCTTAAAAAGCTCTTTCAGCAGAAAGACATCTGAAAGGCAGAGGGATTTTTTCAGTGACCTCAGTTTTGACAAGGGGAAAAAACATACAGAGATGTGTTTTTTCTGTTCTACAGATTCTTTGAGAGGCAGCAGGTGCAGAAATGCGGTGAGGGAGGTTAGTTCGTAGATAAGCGAAGGACAAGGTCGAGTTTCAAAGATGACAAGAAATGGAGACCTTTCTGTTCCTTGCTGCATAGCCGTAACTTTGCTACAAAAAAAGAAGCATTGAGCATGTTACAAAAAACACACATGAAGCAAAAACCTTGGCTTTCTGCAATCAGGTAAAGAGTTGCAAAAAGCATCTGCAGATTAGAGTATAAAAGTGCCTGTTTTTGTGAGTGAAACTCAATCCAAAAGTACAATTGTTAGGGCCTGTTCACACAGGACACATTCTTGCATTAAAAAACAGCTAGATGGAAAAAGCTAAACTACTTTAAACTAATATTATCAAGATGTGATGTGATGGCAAAGACGTAAGAACACATCCTGTGTGAACATTGTCTTGCAGACTAGTTACAAGAAACCTGCCTGCCAAAATAAGAAAATACACAGAGTGACCTTTCACCCCAGGTGTTTAAATCAGTGCTATTATAGCAGCAGCAAACTCATGCGAACATGCACAGCTTGACTTGTTTGCTTAAAAGGCCAGATTCTCTCTGACCTTTTGTAAGCCCAAATGTCATACCCAGATAAAACGGTCCTCTCTTGCCTGGATGGAAAGACAGTATATTTAGGAAGAAATGTTGGAAATAACTGTATTATTTGTTTACCTGCTGTATTTGTACAAATGCACATATTTTTAATATCAAGATGCAAGATATTTCCATTCAAAAGTCTAGTGTCAGTTTTTTTCTTTAAAGAAATTAATGCTTTTCTTCAGCAAGGATACATGAAGTTGATATAAAAAAATAGTAAAACATGTATAATATTAAAAGAAAAGTTGTTTCAAATAAATTATGCTCTTTTGAATCTTATATTCATCAAGAAATTCTTTCAAAAGCATTAAGAAATCTTACCGACCCCTAACTTTTGAACAGTAGCATATACTTAAACTCTGACTCATACAACTAAAATGGAAACTGAGAGCTCCTTCAGAAGAGCATTCATTAATTAATAATCACTATATCTAATTAGGAAGAGCTGAGCGATTTTATGCAGGCCAGAAGATATTTTTAGACTCATATATATGGGATAATATATAGTCAGCCAGTTATTACCTCAAAATAAGCACTGACAATCGAGACTCTGAAGGGGTTCATTTTGCATGGGTAACCGACTGACTGTATATTATGCCACTTAAAACACAGCTACTTAACCAAATAAATATATAATTATACATGAAACATTGATTTGAGATGAAATGATTTTATTATGGAAGAAGACAGAGACTGCGGAGTGATACAAGTGAAACTAGCACAGGTTTTAAATTATATGTAATATAATTACGCAAGTAAATTATATACTGTAGTTTAGTGGCATTATATAACAATATTTGAATAGCTAGTCCTCCTATTCGTGTTACTCTCAATGAGAGCAATTTTGAAGCCATACAGACAGTGCAACATCAGTCCAACATCTACTTAACAGGCTGGTGGAAGACTAGTATGGTGGTAGTCTTATATGGGTGCTATGCACTAAGCACTACTAATAAGTGAACTTACTTTGCTGCATCTCTCAGATCGACGACACTTCTGATTTTACCGTGTCCATCCTTGAAGCTTGTTTTGTTGGCAACAGTTAATGTCCCGTTTCTGGTGATGAAATCGGGAAAGCACCTCTGGAGAACTGATGGAACAGCAAAGAATAACGAAAAAATAAAAATCCCACTTAATTTTTAAGTATTTATAAGCTGTCGAGGACATGCTTTGTGTCTGTCTGCTCGTTTATCTTCAAGGCCTAATTTCCTGAGAAGTGATAAGCAGCAGCTATCCAAGTGTTTCGTATCATTCTGTGCCTCCTCTGCTGATATGGAGAGGATGCGGTGACCTTCTCAGCCTTGGCAGGGACATTTTCTCTCTTTCTATCTCTTATATTATTCACAATGTTTACATTAAACAGATATGATGGCTTCAAAGAGATCTAGTGGCCTGAACTGAAACTCATGATCTCCTGATATACAAGTTTCTATTGATATTCACATACCTTCATGCAATCGTTCATTAGTATCTTTTGAATTACACAAACAAATTCTAACATTAATTAAATTTAACTCACTTATACCCATAAATGTTGGGGTTTCTTTGTCTAGACACTCACTCATTCCTTAAACTTCTGAGATTCTATTGGAATTGCGGGAATTTTTATACATTCTTAATGTTGACGTGTATATACATTTTATCTAAAATTTGGCACCAAGACAGGCAATTATAAAGAAAAATACCAGCACTGAAAGCATTGTTTTGACTATAAATTCCTCACAAAATTATTCTCTGAAAAAACTTACATGGTCTGCTTGGCACAATCATTGAGGGACAATCTTCATCCCGAAGCACCTGAGAAACCGGCTGTCAAATGAGAAAGAAAAAAAGAAGATACTTAAAAAAAAAAAAAAGAATTATTCATGCTGCTCTCGACAGTATTTCTCCAGCATGTCAGGCCTGGCTCAAACACAGTTACCATGTGTGCTTCTAAATGTGCATGTGTGAGAATGTGTGAAAATCCAGTGACTCAGCAGAATCAGACCATTGATGGTTTGCGTTGGTACATTTACACATTGATACGCAAAGAAATGTAGGCACCTGCTGGAGTGTACATGTGTGAAGTATCGGCCTGCTAAGATGAAACATCGTCATCAAAAATGCTCATGTATCTGACCATAACAGGCATAATATTCCTCTAGACATAAAAGGGTTCCTGCACTCTTTTAACTAATGAATTTCTATGAATTTTCAAGTAGTTTGTGATTACTAGATAAGGATTATTCTATTAATTATTACTATATTATTTCATGTTTAATCAATTATTAAATCAATTAGCTAAAAAACTATTTATTCATTTATGAGTCAGCTCAGCAAATTGAAAATAACCATCTTAAAAGAAAGATTTGCTTACAAATAAGACATTCACTTTAAAAAATTCAATTACTTGTAAGATTGTATTCATTTCCGTGACCTTTCCAGACCTAGAAAATAAAATCGTACAAATTCACGGCTGTGGGAACCCTGTGTCAAGAGTTTTCAAACTTCAGTGTGCATGTGATGATCACTGAATTTAAACAAAGTTTTGGTTCTTGCAGATACTCTCTAGTTTCCACATGGTACCTTATCAGGATTGTTGAAGCCCGGCTTGCAGAATAGCTTGTAGTAATCCCAGTAGCTCTTATTGCGTCTATAGTTGTATTGCATGTCGATGTATGTGGCAAATCTGTCTGGGCACTTGGATACACACAGCTGGGGTGAATAAGAGAGAAAGAGAGGCATCAGTTACAAAACAAGCCAGTGCTAAATACAGAACATTCCAGCTTAGAGAGAATGACAGGTGGTTTGCAAATAGTGTCTGTATTACCTGAGTTGTAGGGCACTGGAGGTTAATGAGGACTGTAGGATTGGCACATTGTAAAATATTGAAGTAAAATAATATGGCTTTATTTCTGTGGGGGAGAAATAGAAGGTGTTTCAATACACCTTTGAAACGTAAAAATTGTATAAATAAATAAATGAATAAATAAATAAATCTCATACTTAATATATTAAGTATGAGATTACTTTTAAATATTTTATGCAAGACAGAAACAGGTATTTATTGGCTGCTGTCTCTTTAAGACCAAATTCACTGACCTAATACTGACACACATCCGGTTTCTTTCTCAGCTGTTTACGTTCACTTAAGACATAACGGACTGTGTTTACTAGAATACTCGCCAAAACGGGTATTTTAACATAACTTTGTGTGTATGTGAAAGAGGAATCAATTCGCTGTTCACGCGGTGTCTCTCTCTCTCTGCGTATGTGCGGCAGCGGCTGAGCGCATAGAAAACAGTGCGCGAGTTAAAATTGCTTGAATGTGTAAACTGGCAATACAAAACATGAGCAAATTAAAAACTTTAACTCTATGATGGTTAAACTTAACAGTTAATCCGCGAATCACATGCGTGCCGAACCGTGCAGCCTGATCTGTACAGATCACGGATCATCTACGATCCGTTGCACTCCTACAATTTATCAATTAAAATATAACAGCATTAACACCTCAATTTGTCTCTGGCTCATACTCACGCATTAGGAGTACCCTGCTGTCCACAGAACTGCCCATAGCTGTCTGTCGGGTAGACCACTTTCCGGGGATCCCCATGCATCCAAGCTTAAAAAACATAACACAAGTCATATCATCTGAATCATGTTTCTCAAATAAGTTTACCACAGATGCAATTCAAGTGTCATGCATTTCAAAGAACTGCTGTAATAAAAAAAAAAGATTTTTTTTTATTTTGCACCAGCAACCTCAGTATTTATGGCAACACTGAAACTACACCCACTGTTCCTGCTAAGACGGAACAGGCAGAAGCAAAGAGAACAAACATGTACAGATGCATGAAAAACAAACTAAAAATAAAGTGAAAACATTTAATTCAGAGGATAAGAGGCTCTTTATGTAATTGAATAGGAGTGATTTGAGTCCACAGAGAATTGAACACACTACAGCTCTGCGGAGAAGGATTCTGCCTGATGATTTAATTTTCTCCACTCAAGTCTGCATTGAAAAGTGAATTTGAGCTTCAAGGGTCACAGAATGTCACCCTGAGCCTAAAACGGTCGCATGAGTTGTCAGTGCACTTCAAAGGGCAACAGAAAAGCCAGTCGCATTAATTTAGCCTAGTCAGGATTAAACCGATAAGACCAGAGCAGAGTGAGATCAGCATGAGGAAAAAAAAGCACTGTGGGAGAAACGGCGAGTCTTACACTACACAGACCCAATATGTACAGTTTGTACAGTTTATATAATTACAATTTAGTATAAATTAAATTGGAACATTTTAAACTATGTAATTTACTCCTGTGATGGCAAATCCTAATTGCCATTTCTCCAATCTGTCATTTTATGTCATATTATCCTTCAGAAATCATTCTAGCATTCTAAAAAACTAAAAAAAATGTTTTAATTAGATCCTAGAACTTTTGGGCGCCACTATATATATAACAATCACAGGCAGCATGTTTCCAACACAGACAGATCCAACAGTCGGCAAGCTGTGAGTCTCCCAGAAACGGCACAAGAGAAGAGCCTGTGACAGATTTAACCACAGACTCCACATTTAAACCACAAATGATGTAACCGATCTAATGTCACAGTGAATGAATGGGTTCGTGTGAGTCCTTTTGCTTTTTTGAGAATGGACTAAATGACTGTCCTTATAAAAACAGCCACATACGGTGAGGGGAGTGTAACTGAACATAATGACACTGCATTAGGCTGCTGTTTACGACTGACGCTCCCCCGCCGCTTCTATTTGGCAGCTTAATAGCACTGGATTCATGAGCCGCATTACGCAACCCTCTCTGCTGAAGCGCACGTTAATGAGTGTAACTCACCCACTGTTCCCAGAACGATGTAACCGAGGATGACGATGACAAAGATCACACAGCAAAGCACGTCTGTGCAGCCCCTGCAGTGGGAATGTGAGAAAAGAGAATGTAAGGGAGAGGATGTGAGCGCTAAATGAATAAATCACACTATATCTACATTCATAATGGCATTTCAGTAAGTACATGAATATGTTAACTAATTACATATTCCTAATTAATCAAATGTTGTAAAATCAAACTTTTAGAACCATTGTGAACTCTAAATCTAGAAACAAAATAACATTAATCACTAACACAGTGTGTTAAAACACACATACATCTATACACAGAGCACATATACTGTATTTGTAATCATTTTTCCCTGCTGACTGTAACCCCATTAGAACAGACTTGTGACCCATTTTTGGGTGCCAACCTACTAGTTGAAATTAACTAAATAGCAGCTTTGCAGACAGAGAAAATGAGGTCAGAGCAGGGCAACAGAAAAGATTAACAGATGTGCTGCATCCTCATTCGATTATTCATCCGACATAGTATGCAAGTAATTAAGTAGTGCACAGGGTGGTTACTGTTAACTAAATACTAAAACTATTAAAAACTGACTTCATTAAATGAAATTAAATTATAAAAAAATATATATATATATATAAACAATGCCGTTCAAAAGTTTGGGATCAGTAAGATGTTTTTTAAAGAGGTTTCTTATGCTCATAAAGGTTGCATTTATTTGATAAAAATACAGAAAAAAACTGTACATTTGTGAAATATTATTGCAATTTAAAATAAGTTTTCTATATAGTGTAAAATATAATTTATTCATGAAGCAAAGCTGACTTTTCAGCATCATTACTGCAGTCTTCAGTGTTGAAGGCTCAGGAAACTTTTGCAGGTGTTTTGAGTTGATTAGCTGATTGGCATGTCACCATATTCTAATTTGTTGAGATAGTGAATTGGTGGGTTTTTGTTAAATGTGAGCCAAAATCATCACAATTAAAAGAACCAAAGACTTAAACTACTTCAGTCTGTGTGCATTGCATTTATTTAATACACGAGTTTCACAATTTGAGTTGAATTACTGAAATAAATGAACTTTTCCACGACATTCTAATTTATTGAGATGCACCTGTACTATTTAAAAGTCTGGGGTCATTTAATCTTTTTTTTCTTTTTTCTTTTTTTAAAAGAAATTAATACTTTTATTCAGCAAGGATGTGTTAAATGGATAAAAAAATGATAGTAAAGACTTATATTGTTGGAAAAGATTTTGAATAAATGCTGTTCTTTTAACTTTTTATTCACCAAAGAATCAAAGAAAAAGTATCACAGGTTCCAAAAAATAGTTTCAGTTATTAGAATGGATCATGTGACACTGAAGACTGGAGTAGTGGCTGATGAAAATTCAGCGCTGCGTCACAGAAATAATTTACATTTTAAAGCATATTAAAATAGGAAACCAATATTACAAATGGAAATATTTCACAATATTACAGTTTTTTCTGTATTTTTGAAACATCTTACTGATCCCAAACTTTTGAACGGCAGTGTAAATATTAGATGAATGAAAATGAAAAATGTTGCATTGACAACTACCTGAAATAAAAGTTATTAAAACTTAAAATAAATTAAAAATTAAAACTGAAAATATAAAAATAAAATCTAATTCCAAACATTAATAAATACTATAATGGTAAAAAAAAGAATACTACAATTATACTGGCAGTGCATCCTAAATTATAATACACTAAACATACTAAGCTAGAAATGCCCAGATGATATACTCCAATAAAAAGTACCTAAATGCAAGGACAAACATCTGAAAGTAGTTTTTAAAAAGAACTCGAAAACAGTGAACTTTAAAATAATGAGTTAGCTAGATGGTAACAAGACACAGCCAGGAGGTCTGTAGCACTGACACCTTTATATTGTGGTACATGTCCAAATTATACTACACATTCATAAGTATATACTTGTAGTGCAGCGTGTATGTACGATAACTGGGACGTAGTCATGCGGTTCAGTAGGACAGTAAACTTCAGTCTTGTGTAGTTCTGACTGCACTAATCCAAATCTGACTAACTCCCAGCATACAGCAGCTTTGAGTGGACAGCTAATGTGGAGAACAGTAGAAATGAGTGACGTGTCTGATGTGTAAACTACAAACCCAAGAGCTACAAACCCACAGTGTCATCTGTAACAGCGTTCCCTGAGCTATATTTAAATTCTGCTCAACACAGACGGGGAATGTGGGTGGTTGCGTCGGGCCACTTTCACACAAAGGTGCAGATTTGTCATGTTACTGGGAGTCAGTGACATTTAACGCAATACAGCTTGGGTGATATTTTCGGAGATACAGTGTTAATGGACTGGTGGAAAAGTAGCCAACAAAAAAAGAGAAAATAAAATAAACTTATTCACAGGTATAGTTATCCAAAAATTAACAATCTGTCATTATATACTCACCCTCATATTGTTCCAACCCCAAAGGAGGTTATTTAATTTTGTTTTTGAAAATACAAACTACGACTCTTCACCAGAAAACTAGCTCATATGACTTGTTTACTATATTCCAAGTCATACAACTACTTTGTGTGAGGAACAGACCAGAATTTGTAGTGAAAAGCTGCAACCAGATCATTGAGTCAATAGGTAAAGTCTGAAAATTGGACCAACTTCTAATTTGTGAACAAATAGTTCATAGGTTTACTGAAAAGAACCAATTGGAAAGATTGATCTGTTCACAAATCGGACTGATCCAGTTCTCAATGATCTGGTCGCAGCAGTTCTGCTCACTTTAGAAGATTTCATATGGACTTTAATGGTGCTTTCTATAGTTAGACATGATGTGATCACTATAAACTGCTGTTTTATAGAAAATGTCTGTGTGAAGAAAATTTTCCTTTTGTGCTCCGAGAAATAATAAAACTAAAAATAAGTTAATCTCTTCCATAAATCATAGTCATAGGTTTATTAAACAACAAACAACTAAAAAAAACTTTATCAATTTATTACTGAGCCACTATGATAAACAACTGGGTCAGCTGTGACGTGGATTGTACCGCACCTCATCACAGCAAACATAGCACAGCAAAGTACTGCATGCTGTGCTAACCCGACAGAGCTTAAGCGTTTTACATCAGTCAACCCTAATTAGCAGTAGCTGGGCCTTATAAATACGGTAAAAGCAAAGGAAAGCCCCATTAGAAACACGCTGGGTTGCACAATGTGATGGCCACTCTCTATTGAGAGCAACAAAAATACATTAAAAACCCATGGCTTGTTGTCCAATAATAGCAGAATTACCTCACAATCTGCTGAATCCTATTGAGTTTGAATGTTAATGAGGAAAAGCAACTCTAGACGTGAGCAACAGTCATTGATTTCTCTGCTCCTGTGGGGTGAAAGCCGTGCTGTCCACTATCACCGCCGAACTAACCAGTGATCCACCAGCAGCTCTGGATCAGAGCGAGAAACAGGCCAGCGGAGCGACAGGTCCATGAATGAAGTCAATATTTTTATCAATAACAGACACATGCAAATCAGGACAAATCAAAAAACAATGCTATGAGGGTGCATGTGTGTTTGTTTCTGGCCTAGCTGTAGTTTTGGGGGCATTATATATACACATTTTTGAAGGGGTCTAAAAAGTAGAAAGGAATAAAATGAAATAAAAACAACAACTAAATATTGTCAGACGCAAATATGAAATATTTCTACTTTTTAGACCCCTTCAAAAAATATAAATATTTTTAATATATATTTACTTTTATAAAATATATAAAATGTATATAAAATATAAATTTTGCTTAAAGGGGTCATATGATGTTGCTAAAAAGAACATTATGTTGTGTATTTGGTGTAATGCAATGTGTTTATGCGGTTTAAGGTTCAAAAAATATATTATTTTCCACATACTGTACATTATTGTTGCTCCTCTATGCCCCGCCTTTCTGAAACGCGTCGATTTTTACAAAGCTCATCGGTTGTGTCCTCTTTTGGAAGGCCAAACAAAGTAGTTTCGCTTTCACAACGAAACACACAGCGTCACACACAGTGGGCTAGAGTGAGGAACGGCCGGCAGGCTTGAGAACGGCGCTGCTGGCAGATTCGACGAAGGAGCAAATCTTCCCACATCGTGACGTAGACATGTGGGGGTGAGTTAGAATGAGCCGTTTTAGGAGGGTGTGGTTGACTCTTAAAGGGGTCATATGATGCGCTTTCAAGTTTTCCACGCGAGTTTTGAGCAGTGTAGAGTACCGCTTGTTGTTTGTCATTTCTCCGATCACAAATGCAGACATGATTCTATGTTTACGTGGTAGGCCTGTAGCAATAATCAATATATCGACTTATCGCGCAATGTATGTACCGTATTGGCCCGAATATAAGACGACCCTGATATTGCTGTGGGTGTATTATTGACGTGAAAGTCTAGACCCTGAATATAAGACGACTGCGTTTTTTCATATGTATTTCCAAGAAAAAAACATCGTCTTATATTCGGGTCAATACGGTACATGACCGCAATAATTTTTGGTGACGCAATATATCGCCTATTATATTTACTTAAAAATTAATTTCACCATGTTTTGTACAGTCTTTTGCAGCTTCTTGTACATAACGTGGTGTAGTCATGAGGTGCTTGTTCACATTTAAAAAATGCTTCTACAAACAAAAGTTTCATCTGCAGATATGATCTTGTTTAGGGATCCTGTATATGTCTATATCATGTGATACATGTGTCTTCAAATAAACTCCAAAAAAATATCACAAGGAAGTAAGATTTACTCTACCTGTTGTGAACAGGTCCTCTGAATGTGGGGTCAAATTTGTGTGGCTCCCCTGTAATGCAAGAACAAAGTGTCAAAATCACATTTATATAGTGAAAAATACAACTCCAAAAGAATTTAATCTATACTTTTGCCCCAAAAGAATATAATCTATTCTTGTTAGGAGCCATGTTAGTAGCTATTCTCATAAGCGGCTGACCAGGTCAAAGAGCAAACAAACTAATTGATTTCAGAAAAAGCCCACAATGAAACAACGCAAAACAATGTCACCACCATGTTAAGTAAACAAAGAACTCGATCAAGTAGGTCTGAACAGCCTCATAACAAAGAGCCATAACAAAGCACAGGCAAACAAAAGAATGTACCTGCCACAGTTCTAAACACATTGGATAATTTTGACATCAAGCTCACAGAGTGACATTTCCCCTCATCAAAGTATTTACAGTAAGTTCCTACCCAATTCTGCTTCGTAGTATCCTCCTTTTGGTCCGGTCATGTTCACTGTTCTCTGATCGAAGACACTGTGTGTTTATATAATGTTGCTGTGCATGTGTCACTTCCTATGAGGGCTGAGGTGGTATCTTCTCGCCTTTCTCCGATCGGTTAATCATTACACACAAAGCCGTGTTTGCGAGAGGAGGTGGAAGAGAAATCAGGCTGGTGGGTGTTTGCGCCGCTTTCATCTGCCTCTCTCTGTCACTATCCACTCTCCACTCCTTCCTTATCCTCTTTCTCTCTCTCTCTCTCTCGCCCGCTCACAAAGGAAACAGAACTGGTGTCTCGCGGCTCAGATTGGTAGCATCCACTGACACACCAAACACAATGAGACAACAGCACGGCAGCCACCTGCTCAAAGCTTTGCGTGTACACACACAGACTCAGAAAGTGCTGTTTGTATGTCGCCAAACATACCATCACTTCTCATCTCAGTGGAATTAACATCCTGATGTGTTACTAACACAATTAATAGATTAAATCCTTACATTTAAATGAACAGACTCACTGTCTGGAGCAAATTTTGACAGAACAGAACCAGTACGTAGGTCTGCTAGGATCTGTGCCAGTGTATCTGAACAAGCTGAGCGGACAGACGTCAGCTGTCATATATGATGATGCCCGCCTAGGTGGCCCAAGTTGGGAGATCAGGCAGTGATGCCATCCTGGAAGAAAAAAAGCCATCTTAACTGGTTTAAACTGGTTTTCAGTTGATCATAGATACCCAAAACCCATATAAAACCAGCCAACAGACAACCCTGACTAGGCTGGGAGAAGCAGCTAAGACCAACAAACAATCTTAGGCAGGATTAAGCAGTTTTTGATGTTACAGTGCAGATTTATGATGATATCATGATGTCATATATATAAGGCCAGCTGATTTAAGATGCTCTTAAGCCCCCAAAACCCCTATAAAACCAGCTAACAGACCACACTGACCAAGATATGAGAACCTGGCAAACCATCTTAGACTGGTTAAAGCAGTTTTTGGAGACAATGCAGCTTTATGATGCAATCATGATGTCATGTTTATGAAGGCATCAGTAGGCTGATATGAAGAGAGTGAATGGCATATTCTCTAAAGTAGGCCTGAAACTAACAATCATATTGCAATTTTGTTTAATCTGTCAATTATTTATTCAATTAACTGGATAAAAAAAATACTCCATCAGAAAATTTGTAAATGAATGGTTGATAATTTTCATATCGGTGCATCCCTATACAAAACCAAACTCATGCCTGTCTGCTATACATTGTGTGCAAAAAAATTATAAATGTAAAACACTATAAAGTAGTCTACATATAGCTTTTCACACTACCATTTTTGTGCAATACATGCTTTCAAAAACAGCCAAATTGACTAATTCTGTATTCAAATATTCTATAGTTAATTTTCCTTATAGACATAAATGGGTAACTATGGGTGGGGCTTCATGCTCACTGTACTCCTTATCACTAAACAAACATTTCAGAGTAAAGTCTGATTGGTTCAGTAGGAATTTAGATAATCAAAATAACAGCTCTGTTACCACATCTTTGAGAAACCCCAGAAGATCCTTCACATTCATACAAAAACCACCAACTGCAAAAACATTCTGGACCTCTTGACCTTGGCAAAGGAGAAGAAAGGAGAACTACACACAAGATTTTGGATGAGCTCCAATAAGCAGTAGTCAGCCCTGCTCTTCCGTCTCTATTATCATGAGGGCTGAACTACATCCTGAGCTGTAAACAATGTGAATTTAAGGAATGTCCACTCCTTTCAAACTACTCTGGAAAGAAAATGTGGTGTAAAAACAATGTTTCCTCAGAAACTGCTAGTAAATCTCACAAATAATTCATCATCAAGTAACACATCGAACTAAAAATGAAATTCTGAAGTAAAAAGACTGAAATAATATTTTCTTGTAAAATGTACTCCAATAATTTATCTAATTACAGGGTTAAAGAATAAATAAATACAATAGAAAACATGCAGGTAGGTTGGCCTAAGCCAGTGTTTCCCAACCTTTCTTTAGTCGCGGCACCCTTTGGAAATTTTAACAAATTTGTGGCACCCTACAAAATTTATTTTGTCACAATATTTTAATTTCTAACTTCGATATGATACTTTGAAAAGTATAGATATTCGGTACAGCAGGGAAGAACTGCAGAATATACTGTCATACAGATATTTTTAATATTATAAAAAAAAATTTGTCCATCAATGGTGGCAATCAGTAGGCAAATTTCTAATGAAAAGACCAATTTATATGACAGATTTTAATGTAGGCTTTTATTCATATGTAAACATTGTGAGATAGCTAGTTATAATGGTAATTAAACAAAGTTTTGCTCACTCAGTGTATTTTTGATTTTACAGTTGGGTAATTTTGTTGCAGTAGCACGAGATAGCTTGATTTAAAACTTTGAATTGAATAAAAAATTAGGCTTGGCTCAGCAGTTAATAATAAAATAAGAACAAATAAAGAATTTATTCATGATAGCACAAATAAAAAAATAACGATAGGCCTACAAATGAATTAAATTGCTTTTTAGTTTTTCAGGTAGGTCTAACACACAGTAGGGCTATTAAGATTTTTTTTTTACCAATTATCCAAATAATGTTTAATCCTAGAAAGCTATTATTATCAGAGGACACGTGAGCTTAACGGTTAGCAGAGCAATGAATGAGAGGGCAGCACCAGAGTTGCCCATATACCACACCTTGTTACAGCACAGTAGGGCTATTGCAAACAGAAACAATACTGTACTACATAGATGTTTCCTGTCAGCTCGATTTTTGAGTGGACTTTGCTGTTCCGACGAGCATGAACGGTATATGAGTGGAGCACTCACATGGGCCGTGAGCGACTAAGCGGAGCGCACACGCATAGAGCGGGATAATACGCAGAGCGTCACACCACGTGAAAGTGA